AAGTTATATTCTATATTATACTTTAAAATATACTTTTGGTTTAATATTTTAAATTATATTTAACTTAATATTTTAAAGTAATATTACAAAGTTTACTTTGTAAAAGTATACTCTAGTATGTTGTAGTATTAAAAAATACTTTGCCAAAGTATATACCACATCATTTTAAGGCATTTTATTAATATTTCTAATTGTTATCTATATTAATACAACTAAATCAATATATATAACTATAATAAATATTATTATAGTCACTTTTGATATAGTTATAACTTTGATATAAAATATAGTTATTTATTTTTTTAACTCAACCTATTATAAACATATAATATTTGACTATTATATAGTTATATCATTTTATAATTACCAAATTTTTGCCTTTTAAGCTATATATATATAATCTATAATAAAAATATATATATCAATTTTTATTAACTAAACAAATATAGTAAGTTCTATTTTAAAAAAATATATTTATCAATTTCTTATTTAAAATAGATTATTTAAACTCTTAAATCTTTCTGTTGCATAATATTTTCTAATAAAAAATATACTATATATTATATAAGAAATATTCAAGAATTTAAATAATCTATTTTAAATAAAAAACTAATAAATATTTTAGAGCAGTGTCATTTATTACCTAATTTTTTTTACTAGAGACATACACTCCTCCCTCCTTCTTATTATATATTTAATTAGGTCTTTATATATAATTTTAACTTTTTTTTACCCCCTTCTTTTCTAAAAAATTACATAATTTTTGTCACTTCTTTTATAAAATATTTAAACAACAAATATTTAATAAATTCAAATAGTCTACTTTAAAAATATATTTAGTAATATATAATTTTTATTTATCTAAAAATATTTACAAAAAACTATCTTTATGTATTTTTGATAATAATAAATATATTATATTTATTCTTTTATTTTTAATTTTTTATTATAATTATAGTTGTTATCTAATAATTTAAAATAATTCAAACTATATAATGATTAGTATCACATATGGTTTGACTAAATTAAAACTATATTTGATACTAATTAACACATAGTTTGGACTATTTTAAACAGTTTTAATAACAACTATAATCATAGCTAAGAATAGGAATTATATAGTTGTTAGTTAACTAATTAATTAATTTTTTTTATAATCAGTTGATTGATTAGTCGATTAATTAATTAGTTAATTAATTGATTAGTTGACTAATCGATTAGTCAATTAATTGATTAGTTAACTAGTTAACTAATCAATTAATCAATTAATCAACTAGTCGACTAGTTGATTAATCAATTAATTGACTAGTTAACTGATTGATTAATCAACTAGTCAACTAATTGATTAATTGACTAGTTGACTAGTTAACTAATTAACTAATTAAATAATAGTTATTGTTATTATATATAATTAATCAAAGATTAATAAACAAATTTAATTGGTTAACTATTGTTTATATAATATCTAAATAACAGATTAGTTAATTATTTAGATTAGTAACTAGTCAATTAGTCAACTTATTATATATAATTAATTAAAGATTAATAGACAAATTTAATTAGTTAACTATTGTTTATATAATATCTAAATAACAGATTAGTTAATTATTTAGATTAGTGACTAGTCAATTAGTCAACTAATTGATTATTTAACTAGTCAATTAGTCAACTAATTGATTATTTAACTAGTTGATTAGTCAATTTTTAGTTAGTTAATCACTAATGGATTTAGTTGACTAACTAATTAATTAAAAATTTCTAACTGATTCTTATTCTTAATCATAATACTTTTGGCATTAGGTTATAAGAAATATAATTTAGCTAATTATATTTTTTTATAATCATATAATAGCAGGCTATCAATATTTTAAATTTAATAACTTTCAAATCTAATACAAAAGCTATCCACCATGTGTGTTAGATTTGAAAAAGTATACTATACTTGTTTAAAGAGCTAATTTTATTACTAGGTATATAAATAAAGATGAAATTATTTTGGGTTCTAAAACCTGAAATTAAAATTTGAAAACAAAATTGTTTTAACTTATCTTTATTTAAAAGATAAAATTTTTTGATACTTTTTTTAAATAGATGAAATTATAAAAAATATAAATATATAACTTAGATTTGCTTTTTTTTATAAAAAATTTTAATTTGGTCTAGTGAAAACAAAATAGGCTATTTTTAAAAACTTATTTTTATAACATATATAACTGGGTATATCTATTTAATTTTTGAATTAAAACTTTAATAAAAAATAGAATTTTTTTTTTTAGCTAATAAATTACTTTCTTGAAAATAAATATTTACTAGTAAGCAATTATGTAGTTTTAAAAAATAAAGCTTATAAATTACTTATTTTAAAATAAATACATTACTTATTTTATTTAAAATTAGAAATTTGATTATTAATTCTAAAACCAAGTAAAAATATTCAAGTATACTATTTAATTTTTTGATTTTAAATATTAAATCAGTTTTTTTTTTTTAACTTCCAAATTACTTTAATTGGATTTTAGAATTAATAATTGGACTCCTAATTTTAGATAAAATAAATAGTATATTTATTTTAAAATAAATAATTTATAAATTTTATTTTTTAAAAAATAACTACTTATTAGTAGATATTTTGGGTAGTTTCAAGAACAAGAAACCCAGTAATATTTTTATAATCATCACATTACATAATTAAGTGTTTGGCCTAAGTTAGAGTTAGTGTCAGGATTAGATGATGGGATAGTTTAGGCCAATTTTATAATGCTAGTAAACAAATAATGTCATTGCATAATTTTACATGTGATGTGATAATCACTGGGTTTCGTGTTCTTTATCCAAAGCTAATTTTATCACCAGATATGCCAATTTTTAAACTTTAAATATAAAGAGTTTTTCAACTCCCAGATCATTTCAATTGGGACTTCAGAATTAATGATCGGATATCTGATTTAGATAAATGAATGGCATATCTAAATTCAAAATACTGTAAGTGCTTTATAAATCTTTTTTTTTTTTTTTTAAAGTGCAGTCTTCTCTCTTTATAATCGCCTCCCATATAATCACATCATATAAAAATCTTTTTATAATCACACCCTATTTGAGCCCAATTACTATTTAATATATATAAAAAACTTCTATATAAGCACACCGCTTTATAAGCACATTTTTTAAAAAAAATTACTATGGTTCCAACTGTGTGATTATAAAGAGATAAGACTGTAATCAGTTTACTAAGGTCAAATTTGTTAGTAAAATTAAAAGTAATAACTTGAATATTATTTTATATTGTTTAATTAAGGTTTAATGTTCGATATTTGTAAAAGCATTTCAACTTAAAGTTGAGATTAAATTAATAGAATTTAAGATATTCTACAAAATAAATAAATGCTCAAAATTTATATTGTTAAAAATTTTCAAATGTAGTATTACTCTTTAGCATTTTATAAACAATTTGTAAAAATTTCCAGGTATTTTGATATCTTGGCAATAAGTTGAATTGGCTAAAATTTTTATATTAATTGATATACTGCATATCAGATATTAATTAACATCTGTGATATAAATAATGCTGTTATTTTACCTTAGTGCATCAGTTACTAAATCATTAAAACTGACCAGGTGCATACATACGTTCGTGAGATAATCTTGCGCGAAAAAAAAAAATTATCGAGTGATCTATGGGGTAATGTTATACGGACACGAGATGATGGGAAAATTTCTTGGTGATTCGATTTCACTGACAATGAATGGCGAGGTAATAATGCGAAAAAAGCTTTCGACCACGTTATAGCAACGTTTCACGAAATTTCCAAGTCCCTGAACAGGACCTTTTTTTACTATCTCCGCTTATAATAATTATATATTTGCAATATAAAAGTCCCTGTTCAGGGACTTTCACTCACCCGGTATAATTACGACAGATGAAACCTTCCATGCAAATCACATGAGTGTAAAAATTTTGATAGCATATAAAAAATACGCACCAACGCGCAAGGGATTGATCCTTCAGAAATTTTATTACTATAACGATACTTACTCGAACTACTCTCACACCCATTCTTTAACCCTTTTTTTTTCTTTTTTTATTCACGAACAACATAAGAGTTTTTTGCAACTCTTTTTTTTTCTTTTACACGAAGAACTGTAAAAATTTTCTGTAAACCTTTTTTTCTTTTACACGAAAAACTTTCTTTTTTTACACGACCTTAAAAACTTTCTGAAAACTTTGGTAATTATAATATTCATATTCATATGAGTTTGCTATATTACGCGTTTTGTGCAGCATTTATATTAATAATGATATAAATATCTTGAATTGCTAAAATTTTTTGTAGGTATCAAGCTATAGAAAGTGTAAATTAGAAAGAAAGTCGTATGTCCGGCGGTGTATATCATAAACCTTCAAAGTTAATATCTGAGATTAACTTTATAAAACTACAGAGTTTGTCACTACAGCATTATTCCTTGAAGACATTAAAACTATAATTGTGCAAGCTTATTTAAACTAGGAGAAAGTGAAAAAGGGTTTTTATTAGCTACTATATCTTATAATTCTGCAATTATTTGTGATTATTTAATATAAATAATTGAATATTTTTAGAATGGGTACCCTTTGATCAAGCCTCAAGCTATTATTTTCACAACGATCATGAATATAATCATAAATACTATTTTTAAAAGAAGCGAAACGAATCTTCATGTCAGAATAGAGGATGTTACTTCAATTCCGCGTGATACATATATGGTTGAGGCTTTTACAAATTTAATACTTTAGTTGTACATAATTCATATCTCATCGAAATTAACATATTTTCTGCTACTATGATTTGCTTTAAAAGATTCTTTAATATTAAAACCTTGTGTAGATACTTGCATTTCTTTGGACCTAATGGCGGATAAGAGTTTTTTTTCTTAATGGTGAGTCTATGTCAACCATATATGGTCTATTTGTTTATCTTCCTAATTGCATTTTTGCCATATCTATTTTATAATACTTTTTAGTCTTATAATAGTTTTTGGAGAAATCTTCGTTGACATTCATTATTCGGGAAACCATTTTCCAACTCAAGATTTTGCACCTTTCGACTTTCGTATTCAAGTTCATTTAATCCTTCATCATCGCAATCCATATCTGCAGATTTCTGTTAATTGATGAATTTCTTGGTCACGTTTTTTACGACTCTCATTCCATTTTTGTAACATTCAGCATTGTTTTTTTACCAGCATTTTCTATATCACAATATCCAAGGTTATTTCCTCAATTTAGGTCTCCACCTTCGAAATTTTTCATACCGGTATATTATACAAAGCGTTTCTGCATTATTTGGTTCAATTTCACTGATCATTTAAATCGGCAAGTGATTCTTCAAATCTATTCGTCCAGTAAGTTTCTCCTCGATTGCGCAGTACGATTAGCGTAACATGACTATGCTGATTTCTTATACCACTTGAATGTCCTTTCATCATCCTTGCCAGCACTATGTAGATGACAATATCAGAGACTATTTATTTCATTCGCATGATCAATATCAGCTGATTTTGATAATGGATGAATTTCTTACGTTTATTCGAATCCCGTTGAGATAACAATATCTAAGACTATTCAGTCCATTCACATTCACATGAATATCAACCATAAGAAATGAATTCTCTGCCCATTCTTTCCAACTCAGATCCTATTGAATAAAATTACCAAGATTATTCAACCATTTAATTACAACAACTAATTTAAATGCATCATCGCTATAACTCACGCCTGCGGATTTTTGATTGTGACCGGATGCTTTATTTCATCCTTCTTATTTGATCTTACTTTTTTATACAACAATGACCAACCTTGCACATTCCATCAGTATGGATCATTTCTGCAAACGCTTTCTATTAATCTTTTATCGCGTTCAGTTCTTACTTTCTTGGAATCCTCAAGTTTGTTTTCGATTTTCGTCATTTTATCATATTCGGGTATCCTGTCTATCTAAACTAACATTTAATATTCTCTTTGATCGTGCAGGACCTAATTACCTTAAAACTATCTAACTGACAATTACGAGATGAGACGCTCAATTTATTACCAAGAACATTTCTAAGACAAGCAATCATCGACGCATCTTTCCTTACTCTTTTATTGTCAGAAAATCGATCGGATATATCATCACCTTGCTACACACATATTACTATATTCATACAACTTAGTCACATTACATAACCCGAACTCCTCAGTGCTATGAATTACCGGAGGTACTGAAATCTACCGCGATACAGGTTAAAAATTGATTGAAAATATATATTTTTTAAATAAGTATGTTTATTTTCAAGTTATATATTTGTTTTTTTTTTAAATTATTGCTTGATTTGGTATTAATTATTTTTCATTTGAAGGCCGACTGCCGCAATGCTTTCAAGCTAGATGACAGCTTTGTGTTGTCCGATTAGTCGGTGTTTTGATTCTGCTTAGGCTTTGACGGTTACGGTTTGATCCAGTATATGTCGTTTAGTAGATGGTGTAAAAGTCGACTAAAAATCCTTTTTTTCAAAAAAGGTATGCAGTATTTAGTTATTATTGAGTTTGATTTTACTTTTATATTAATAATTTTTTTCCTTTTTAAAAGGTCGACTTTCTATTACGTAACGGCTTTGAGTAATCCGATTAGTCGTGCTTTGATCCTGCTTAAGCTTTGAGTAATGCATACGGTTACGGTTTGATTCCGCATATTTCGTTTAGTAGAGTTGTTTCAATCATAGGTGTTAGAAGTCGGTTAAGAAAATTTTTCTTTAAAAGAAGTATGTTTATTTTCAAGTTATAATATGTTTGATTTTTTAATTACTGCTTGATTTGGTATTAACTATTTCTCATTAGATGGCCGACTGCTGCAACGCTTTCAAGCTAGGCGACAGCTTTGAGTGGTCCGATAGTCAGTGCTTTGATTCTGCTTAGGCTTTGAGTAGTGCACACGACTACGGTTTGATTCCGCATAGATCGCTTAGCTTGAGGGTAGATTGCAGTCGCTTAGTGCGTTAAAAGTCGGCCGCCTGTCGACTTATCACACTTTATACTAGACGATTGCTTTGAGTGGTCCGATTAGTCGGTGCTTTGATTCTGCTTAGGCTTTGAGTAGTGCACACGGCTACGGTTTGATTCAGTATATGTCGTTTAGTAGATGGTGTGAAAGTCGACTAAAAATCCTTTTTTTCAAAAAAGGTATGCAGTATTTAGTTTTTATTGAGTTTGATTTTATAGTTTTTACTTTTATATTAATAATTTTTTTCTTTTTTAAAAGGTCGACTTTCTATTACGCGACGGCTTTGAGTGGTTCGATTAGTCGGTGCTTTGATCCTGCTTAGGCTTTGAGTAGTGCATACGGCTACGGTTTGATTCCGCATATGTCGTTTAGTAGAGAGTTGTTTCAATCATAGGTGTTAGAAGTCAGTTGAGAAAATTTTTCTTTAGAAGAAGTATGTTTATTTTCAAGTTATAATATGTTTGATTTTTTAATTACTGCTTGATTTGGTATTAACTATTTCTCA